TCCTTGAGCTCATCAAGCTTTACAAGAGTGTCCTGGCCCGCAAGAGGAAGGAGAGCCAGGAGGCCATCGACCGCCTGGAGAACGGCCTCAACAAGCTGCACAAGACCCAGGTGGGTTCTGGGCGTCTTGAGAAGAAGACGCGCGTTGGGGGCTGCCGGCTGCTGTGCTGCTCTCCACAACCCTAAACCAGGCACGATTGGCTGGCGCTGGGCCAGGTGTGGTATCCTGTCACTGTCATCTTTCCGCACATTGTCTCTTGAACCCCGCCGCCAACCCCACTCGTCACAACGACCCCTGTCCCCACCCCCACCCTGCTGTGTACTCACTCGCCCACCCATCTGCTCAAACCCCCATGTCAACCCTTCTTCCAGGCGGACGTGGATGTGTTGGTGGAGGATGCCCGCAAGATGGCGGTGGAGGTGGAGCACAAGGTCGCCAGCGCAAACGTGTTTGCAGACCAGGTGGGGCGGCAGCTCAGTTGAGGTGCAAAAGGAGATCTGAGCCCTGATCTGTGCAGCCCAGATGCATTGTACAGGTGCAGGATCAAACGTGAAGCTTGGCCTGCCCCTCTTATCCTGATGTGATGGCTTGAACCGCACGCGCAGTTTTTCGGGGCTTCCAGGCCGGGCCGCCACTAAACTGCGCCGCTGCACTGCCGGCATGACCGCAGGTTGGCGTGGAGAAGGAGAAGGTGGCCGCGGAGAACGACAGCGCCAAGGTGGAGGCCGACAAGTGCGCGGTCATCGCCAAGGAGGTGGCGGAGAAGCAGGTGATGGGGGCGCTCAGTGGTGACAGTGGTGGCAAGGCCACCAGGGTGTGCAAAGTGCTCTTGGCAACACGGGATGCAACCATGTGCTGGAAATTCTATGCTGTTGACTGGACGGCTTCTTAGCCGTATAACACGGCGCCCAATCACGCATTGTCTACAACATTTGTGACGCACAGGCGTCGTGCGAGGCGGACCTCGCGGCCGCCGAGCCGCTTGTCGCCCAGGCCGAGGCGGCGCTAGACACACTCAACAAGAAAGACCTGGGGGAGACCAAGAGCCTGAAGAAGCCGCCACCAGGTGGGTAGCGAGGGGCGGATGAACGGGCCCTGGGGCATGTTGTGGGGCCACCTGATGAAAGCTCTAAAAGGCCAAGTGTCGCCTCGCCCGCCCGACAGCACGTTGGGGCCCGCCTCTTGTCTGGCCTCGCTACGAGGTCTCAGTTCCTACACTCTCCCCAGCTCTCTACCGGGCTGTAATCAGCCGCCGCCCACGCCCTCCCCACCTCACCCGCAGGGGTTGATGACATCACCGCGGTGGTGATCATCCTGCTGGAGGGCAACCCCAAGGACAAGAGCTGGTCCGCGGCCACCAAGCTGATGAACAACGTCGACAAGTTCCTGGAGCGCCTCAGGTGCTACAAGACCGTCATAGACGAGGGCAAGGTGCGTCGCGGTGGAGTGGGGTGGGGTGAGGTGGACGGACAAAGGCATGCCTGGGCCGTGACGTCTTCTCTGGGTCGAGAGCACGGGTTTGTTGGCAGGTATGTTGCGCTCTCCGTATACCTGCAACCACCACAAGACATGCACATTTGCAGCCCTGTCGCATGTTTCTGCTGCCCCGTCACAAAATCACCCGTCACTAACCTATTGCTTGTCACACGCTGCTGCCCCCACGCGCGCGCACGCGTGCGCACACACACACACACACACACACACACTCACTCACTCAATCAATCAATCAATCAATCAATCAATCAATCACAGGTCCAGAAGAAGACAGTCGACGCGTGCCGCTCCTACCTGGAGCTCCCCCACTTCAACCGTGACGTCATCTTCACCAAGAGCCACGCGGCCGCGGGGCTGTGCGATTGGGCCGTCAACATTGTCAAGTACTACGACGTCGTCAGCGAGGTGCGGGGGCCCAAGGTGGTAAGGTTGTGGGGCTGTGAGGCATTGGCAGTGGTCGCGCGCACGGGCGGCCGGACGACGGGGATGCTCAAGCGCGAGCGCGTGTGCATGCGCTAAGGATGGATATGGGGGTTTTGTTTGAGTGTTTTAGGGAACCGTTGTGCAGGACGTCGCTGAGGCTCATTTGATTGAGGGGTTGTGGCGGTGTGGTAGTTCCTCGGAGCGTCGATGGTGACCAGCGCCTGCTTCTTGATGGTCACACACCTCACCCCTTGCGACAGGTCGAGCCCAAGAGGATGGAGCTGGCCGCAGCCAATACTAAGCTGCAAGATGCCAACACCATGCTGGCAGCTGTGCAGCAGAAGGTGGGGTGATGTGGCCTCTGAAACACGCGTGAGCACACACACACATACACACATACATACACACCTGGAGCGCAAGCATACCGCCTTGGCGCTGGGAGGATTGAACCCTCGGCCGTTTCATGGGAATTAATCCAGCCTCGCGTGCCAACAAGAGCGTTGCGGCAATGACCACGATATGCACAGGTGGCGGAGCTCAATGCCAAGGTGCAAGCGCTGGAGGCCCAGTTCAACGCGGCCGTGGACGACAAAAACGCCGCCATACGCGAGAGCGAGCGCTGCCAGCTCAAGCTGCAGCTGGCCAACAGGCTCATCAACGCGCTGGCGTCCGAGGGTGCGCTGGGCCGACGGGCCGGGCGCAAGCAATATGGCATGCAGCTGCGGCATGTGCAGGCCTGTCCAACAGCCCCCTTCCTCCAATTGCAAAACCCCACTTCCACCACGCCCCTGCTTTTGGCTGCTCCCTGGATCTTGTCAAAATGTCCAGGCGAGCGCTGGGCGCGCACGGTGGAGCAGCTGCGCGCCGGCTACGACGTGCTCACGGGTGACATGCTCGTGGCTAGGTGGGTTGGCAGGGTACTGCTGCCCTAGGTTGAGGAGCGTGCTGGACGTGTTTTGAGGGAGTATAGGGGCCTCCTGTGAAGATGCCAATGTATGCAGTCCTCTTTGTTTAGAAGGATGGAAAGCGTCTTCGACCACCTTGCATCATCCCTCCGAGAAAGGTTTTTGGTTCCTGGATCCTCGATATGGCAGCTGCCGCCTCACGCCTCCACTCCACGCTGCTCCTCCCCCCTCCTCCGCCCGCCAGTGCGTTTGTGAGCTACGCGGGCCCCTTCACGAGCCGCTTCAGGTCGGGCCTGATCAGCGACTGGATCAAGTTCCTGACAGACAAGGGGGTGCCCATGACGGAGGGCATCAAGGGTGAGGGACCCATAGCGCCCAGCCAGGCACAGCGCCGCACAGCAACGCGCTGTAACGCAAGGAACACCCGCGGCCTGGGTTTGGCGAAGCTGTGAAGTGCCAGTCTCATCCTGGATTTGTTTTGCTTTGCAACCCGTTTTGCTTTTCATCGACACAGTTGCATGAAGCAATCTCGACATGGGCACACTGACTGGTGCACGCGCTCACACCCAATTTGCTTGCAGACCCGCTGTCACTGCTGGTGGACGACGCGCTGGTGGCCTCCTGGATCCGCCAGGGCCTGCCCTCCGACCCCACCAGCGTCCAGAACGGCACCATCCTGGTCAACAGCGAGCGCTGGCCGTTGATGATGGACCCGCAGCTGCAGGGAGTGCTGTGGATAAAGGAAAGGGAGGCCAAGAACGGCCTGCAGGTGGGGGCGCCGCTGACCATTCGTGGTCCGGCTGTGGGGCTCCTTGCTATCAAACGACCGCTGTGCTTGCAAGCCTGGTGGGCTGGTGAGTGTGCTGAACTCAACCCTAATCCTGGATGCAGGCGGATATATCACATCAGAGCCATGGTCTCACACTGAGCACACATGTGTCCCCCAGGTCGTGCGCATGGGCGCTGACAACATGATGGTGGTGATTGAGCGCGCCATGGCCGCGGGGAACAGCGTGCTGATTGAGAACATGGGGGAGTCCATCGACGCCGTGCTCAACCCCGTCATCACACGGTGGGGCGCACAGGAGGGGTCCTGCTCCATGCTTCCTGATCAGAGGCGGGAAGTTGCAATGCGGTTGCATTGGTTGTTTGCCCTAGCAGATTCCCCTGCAATTGCGGAATCATTGCGGCAGAGGCTGTGGCAACTTGTTCTCCACTGCGGCACTGCAGCAGCTGGCCTAATCCATGAGGTTTGAACCGTGGACACCCAACTCATACCCCAGGTCCACCTTCAAGAAGGGCCGCAGCCTGTACATCAAGCTGGGGGACAAGGATGTGGAGTACAACAGGTGAGACCTTGCCGCTGGCAAGACGGTCAGACATACTGTGCTCAGCCGCAGACCCTCCTCTGCACACCAGAGGGTGGTTATGCGCTTCCCCCTAACACCTTGCACGCTTCCCCGTTGTCTTGGCTTCGAGCTTTCTCCGGCCTCTTGCCGTCCATCCCTCCCACCACCTTTGTTATCACACACACCCACACAAAAACGCCCCTCCGCCCTGCCGCCCTCCAGGAGCTTCAAGCTGTTCCTGCACACCAAGCTGTCAAACCCGCACTACCCACCGGAGATCCAGGCGGAGACCACCCTCATCAACTTCACAGTCACAGAGCAGGCGCGCCTTGGCATCGCATTTCTCACCCTGTCGCTCATGGCAGTTGGCCTGGCCTATTAGGGCCGCCAGCGATGATGCTTGTAGTCGCCGTTCTGCAGCGCCACCGCCACATGCTGAGCAACCCCCCGTAACCCAACATTGACATTTCTCAAACCCCTGCCGCCGCCCTCAGGGCCTGGAGGACCAGCTGCTGGCGCTTGTGGTCAACAAGGAGCGGCCCGACCTTGAGGAGACCAAGACACAGCTCATCATACAGGTGGGGGCTGCAGGAACTGCAACCAGGCCCCAGCATGTGCTTGAAGGACGCATGCCCACTGCCCAGTGACGCCATGTTCAGTTCGTTGGCTCTGGCCCCTGAGAGATTGGGTCTACCGTCGTTGTTCAGGCGGGACCTTGTGCGGCGTAAACAGGAAACCTGACCAAAGCTGTTGCAGCTGAGACAGTATTGCCCTGACACACTTTGACCCACCCCCCGCCTCTCCCAACACATGCACCCTTTGTTCTATTCCGCCCCACCCTCGGTTCCTAGAACACCGAGTTCACGATCAAGCTGAAGCAGCTGGAGGACGAGCTGCTGTACAAGCTGTCAACTGCAGAGGGCGACATCACAGGTGGACGGGCGGGCTGACATAAGAAGCATGAGTGTTTGCTGCGCAAGTTGTTGCCCCGCGTGAACGGCATGCATCCTTACGCAACACCAAAGTAGTGCTGCGCTGCAGACTGGAACTCTGTAATCACATACGCATGCAAACAGCTGTGCATGTGTTCACCACACTTTACAACGCCCCGCCTCATCATCACCAGAGGACGTGGGGCTGATCGAGTCCCTGGAGGAGAGCAAGCGCGTGGCCACCGACATCACGGACAAGGTGGCGGAAGCCCGCGAGACAGAGGGCGCCATCAATGACAGTCGCAACAAGTGAGCCCAGCGCAGTTGCCCCACCAAACCGCACACTCACGCACCCCACAAAGACTGCAACCAGCCTTGCTCCCTGTTTGCATTCTGCTGCTTGCTGCACCCGATCAAGTGCAGGGTGCTCAACACGAGGTTGCAGCAAGACCAAGCCTCCCTCCCTTCACACCCGCAGCGCAGCACGCGATCTCAGCGGCAGCGCCCCTTCCGCCGCCAGCACCCTACTCACGATGGCCTCCACCACCGATGCATCCTGCCAGGTACCGCCCCGTGGCCCAGCGCGGCGCGATGCTGTTCTTCCTGCTCAACAGCCTCTCCAAGATCCACGCGTTCTACCAGTTCAGCCTCAACGCGTTCGTCACAGTCTACGGCCGCGGCCTCGACAACGCGCCGGGAGGCCGTCGCAAGCCGGTGCGTCGCAGTGCAACCACGCACCTCTCCGCGCCGCCTGCTGAAACAGAGTTGCAGTCTGGCGGGGTAGAGCATGCGAGATGCTGCAGAAGTACTCATGCGACAGGCTTCAACACACACGCACACACGCACACGCACACAACCCCAGGCCGCGGCCGCCGCTCAGCCAAACGAGGGCGTGCTGCCTCAGATGCAGCGCCGCGTGACAGGGGACCGCCGTGAGTTTGCCGAGGTCATGGCGATGGCGCGCCGCACGTCCAGCCAGACGGGAACATCGCCGGTCGTGCACAGCAGGAGGCCCACCAACATGCAGGTAAGGAGAGAGAGGGCGCTCACAGGTGGGGCCGAGGAGTATCTGGCAGAGCCGCTGTAATGCATGGGTTGAGCTTGATTTTCCAGGTATTGAGAGCTTTGCTGCGAATGCTTGGTACTGATGTTGTGTAATGCTTCAGTCCACCCACATGTGTTGCTCTCCCACCCCCCACCGCCGCCGCAGGCGAGCGTGAGCGGCGAGGCGACCATCGCCGAGGGCGCGGAGGACGGCTCCGAGGAGACCGATTACGCCATGAGCCCAGAGGAGCTGGAGAAGAGGATGGCCTCGCTGCTGCAGACCTGCACCTACACGGTGCGGATGCACATACTGGGTTGGGCTTTGGTTGCCTGGCGCACGCCGCTGGGGCTCGTGATGTGGATGCTCTCTCTTGACACACACCGCAAAAAAATCCTTGCCCTTGCTGCCGTCCTTGCCCCCCCAGGTGTTCAACTACACCCGCCGCGGCCTGTTTGACCGCGACAAGCTCATCGTGCTGACCCTGCTGACCTTCAACATCGGTGCGGCTGCCACCTGAGTCAGCCTCAGGAAAACGCCCTGTTGCACCTCATGAAGCGCTGCCTCTGCTTCAGAGGCACAAGATTCACATCTGCATGTTTGCGGGCCGCTGTTGGGCAACTTGCGCACCCCGGGTACAGCTGAAGCAACGGCATTGCTTTGCGCAGCACTGAGTCCCTGCTTACATTTTTCCTCCAGGCCTGCGCAACGGCACCATTGACGCGGCCGAGTACGAGGCCCTGTGCAAGGGCGCGCGCAGGTGAGCCTGCGACCCTGGCCTCCCAGCCCTGCAGCCCTGGGACGCGCCGCAACGAGCCAAGCGTCCAGCGTTTTGATTTGTTGTGTCGTGCAAGAAGCCAGCACGCCTCGATCTTCTCTCGCTCAACATTCAGACTCCTACTGACACGTGTGGCATCAACCCAAACGCGCAATACTGCTCCAGCACGTCCCCGCCGCCTATCACGGACGAGCTGTCGCGCTGGATGACCGAGGGTCAGTGGGCCGCCGTTGACGCGCTGGCCACCAGCGGGGTGCCGGGCTTCGCCTCCCTCACCAAGGTGCGGACCCACTGGGCTGCCCGAACACCCGCCCCTGGCCTCACAACAAGAGCTCCTTCTGCAATCTGCGCCAGCCGCCGCGCCCGTCCCTGTTTTGTACGGGTGTTCAAAAAGTTGCGCCTGCCCCACGCAGCCTGCGACCCTTGACATTGCCTCCCATGCAGCACCTGCTCTTCCCCATTTCTCAACCCAACCCCCAAATCCCTGCTATCCCCCCTCCCTGCCCACCTTCCTTGCTCACTCCTCCGCTCACCCCCCTGCTCACACAAATGCTCAACCCCCTGCCCAACCCCCTGCTCAACCCCCGGCTGACCCCGCCCTCCTGTGACCAGGACCTGGAGAAGGCCAGTGAGGAGTGGAGCGCGTGGTGCCTGTCAGAGGCCCCGGAGCGCGCCCTCATGCCGGGAGACTGGGGCCGCGTCGGGGAGTTCAGGAAGCTGCTGCTGCTGCGCGCGCTGCGGCCTGACAGGATCACCAACGCGCTGCAGGTGCGCGGGGCTGGGTTTTAGGATCAGATGTCGGACGAGGGACCAGAGGGGAAGTTGACCGCACACTCTGTGGCATGGTGATCACCATGTGAATAGGCGGCAGAATTGAGCTGCTCGTGCTGGCACCACGCTGTACTATTGATGTGACTCAAGCTGCCCCCACTCCCAACAACCGTAATTCTTGAGCATGACCCCGCCCCCGCCCCTCTTTAAGGCGTACTGCGAGGGCATAATGGGCAGCGCCTTTGTGAAGCAGGACGCCTTCGACGCAGCCACGGTGCTGCAGGAGAGCAGCAGGTGCGCCCCGACTTTTCGTTGGATCCTGGCCCGGCACCTGGCGTGCACCCCTGCCCCCTCCTGCATCTGTAATACACGCAGGTCTTCGCAGGCAAAGCTCAACCGCAGCTTGCCAACGCTTCCCCTCTCACCCCTCTGCTCTCCACCCCTCTCATGCC